AGATCTCTATAAAAGTTATTTTATAGGTGTGAGACTTGATTTTTTTAGAGATTCGTGTCAAATTTAATGATGATCTTTTAAGGTCCTACACACATGTATGGGGCGGATCCTATAGGATCATTTCTCTTTATCAATTTGCTTGATTTAAACCACTTTTAAAATTTAAAATTTTCTAATTAGAGACAAAAATATATTCTTGCACCATCTTGAGAATTTTCAACACCTAAATGACGTCTCGCGACAATGTTTAGAGCTGAACCTTACTTTGATTGTTTAACCGTTACAACTTATGCAAACCACACCCAAAAAGAAAAACCTAAAAGATTTCCTACTCCTATTGGAGTTTATTATCTATTTATTCCCTTAGGCAAAACACACGTTGGAGGTATTGTTTGAATCTCAAATTGGAAGGATGTAATCTCTACAAATTATAGACTAATCTCAGTATTAAGAATTTTTTAATAAACTCTCTAAGTAATAAAAAAAACTAATGCCTCAAGAATGCATTTATAGGCCATCCAATTTTTGAAGGGCTAGATCTAATTGTCACAAAACATAAAAGGGAAAGCTTTCTATGTTCCCCCTACAACATAGAAGTTCTATCCTCCCCTTATCATCCAGCTGTCCATTTTTTATCAAGAGAGTCACTCAACGTTTGATCTTAGATCCGACGTCGCAAAGTATTTTATTTTTAGTTTGTTAAATCAAATTTTCTGAATATGAAATTTGGTACATGCCATCTTCTCATTGGGGAGCCCCTTGAATCTTTCAGGGGTATTTTAGTTATTTTATTTTATTGAAAATATTTTTTTTATATTTTTCGTTAGTGTGAGTTTAATAGAGGAATGGACGTCCAAATTTGGTGTCAAAATAGTTTATCAAAAAATTAAAAATAAAATAGTGTAGAGATGTGACATTGTGATGGGGGCAATCTTAGCCCTCCATTAAAAAGATGGTAGGATAAGGGGGAGGAGAGAACTTCTATGTTGTAGAGGGAATATAGAAAGCTTTCCCAACACATAATTCAAATTGATTCTTTTTAAAATAATCTTCTTGTAATTTTTATGTGGTTTCCAAAACTTTTAAACTAAAAAAAAAATCTTCCTAAATAGATGTTTTGAGTGAGGAAGTAGATGCATAGTATGCTCCTTCCTGTAGGAACATAGTATACGTGCACAAAGAAAAATCCCTAGTTCCCAAGAAAAAGGATTGAAAAGACGTAAATATAAGGCGTCAGTTTTATACTATAGAAGTGAACCGCACCTAAAAAACCCATTGAAAAATATTGTTTTGGCGTTAGGAGTTTTTTCAATTGATTATCTCAACCTTGAGGCGTTAAGTTGGATATGAAAAAGAAAAGATTGTAAGTCTTAAAAATAGTATATCTTGTAATATTTGAATATAATTGGCTTCCTTGTAGAGAAAAGGAGACCTGTCTGGTCAGCCTCTTTTCTCCATGTGACTTGCACTAATGTTCAAATAAAAAAGAGTACAGGAGATATCAGCTATAATTAGGCATAGAGCATTGTTTGTGTTGTTGTTATGGAACTTATATTGTTGTTTGTACGAGAAAGAGAGAGAGGGAAAGACCTTGTGTAGGTCCATTTTTATTCGGAATTGTCGATCTAGATGCCAATCAATTCGAGATGAACCAGTTCCATGATGGTATACGTTCAAGCCCGATTCCTCCCTAAAACCCAGTTATATATTTGTATTATTTATTTAAACTTATGCAATGTGTTTTTAGATCCCATCTATATAACCCCTATTTTAATAATTATTTTATTTTATTTTATTTATTTTTTAATATTTTATGAGTAACCCAGGATTTGTGAGTAAACAATCTACCCCACCAGGTTGGTTTCGAAATGGTAGAGATAGTCTTGTAGATCACAAGTCTGCCATATTTCCGAAGACATCCCCTATTTTCCCAAAAACGATTTCACACACATATCCTTTAAAAAGGAGGACTACAACGATGATCAACCACCCGTTATACGTAGTTGAGAGTTGATGGGCATTTAGGGGGAATTACGGTTCATATCCATTCTCCGTTTTTGAAACGGACGACGGATGGCCGGCTTGCGTGTTTTGAAGCACACATATCATTCATATACTTACATTTGCCATCTCTTAGTGGTTGGCCTATGGCCAAATAACGGCTGGTTCTTGGTCAAGAGTCAAGACAAACATAATTTTTAGTCGAATATAAAATATTTCATTAAATTTCTTTTATGTTCTTTAGCATGTGGTTTCATGTGGGATGTCACATAACAATTGACAAGTTAAACACATTAATCACCCCGTTAAAAGTGAAACCAACATTTTTTTTTTTACAAAAAAGTAACACATTAATCACCTTTTTTTGGTAGGTCATAAGTGGGATTCGAACTTGAAATTCCATTTATTTTTTTATTTATTTTTTTTATCATTTTTTTTGTCTGAAATTTCAAAAAATTGATCTCGAACTCAAATAACTTATTCTATCGACTCCCGACAGAGCTCACTACAAATTTGCTCCCTCGGGCAAAAGACCCACTCACGAGGATTTCTTAATATGAAATTCTAGGGCCCACTCTCGAATCACCGGATTATTATCTTTTTAATAAAAAAATTATTTGACGTGTCCAAAACTTGGACCATCTCCATTCAATACATTACTTTTTTAAGAATATATAAAGTCGGTATAGTTTTTTATTTTTTATTTAAGTTATTCACTAGGTTCAGGACCGTTGCATCCCAAAATTTGGGTACTCCTAGCTAGGTTTTACATGATGGAGTAATTGTAAATTATGCTCCAACTGGAGCATATAATCTTTTGGCTTTAAAATGTTGTTGCTCTTAAGCTTTCGCATTAATAAGTTTCATATTACATTATTTGTATTACATAAGTTTTATATTACATTATTTGTTGGGCAATAATACCATGTTCTAGGCCTAAAATGTGTTTTACATGCATTTGACAAGTGGGACCTCATTGTCTAATATCAACCATTCTGTGAGGCCCACTCACTTATTATATCTGTCTGCTCAGTAGTCCCGCACAGTATTTGAGATTGGACTACAAGGGGGTTAGTGTCCAAATTTGAACCATTTCTCCTTAATAATGCAAGATTGAAGGGTGCAATATTTTGGTACATCCTCTTTTGCCCTGTTTTTTAGGGCACATTTGGTACACGTGAAATTATTTCCATGGAAGAATTTTAATTTGAAAAAACTCCCTCGTGTGATTAGGTGAAAGAGTTTTTCACACCAATCGGCTGCCAATTGGATTGAAAAAAATGTATCGGGACCTATTGGTGTGAAGAAACTCCCATTTCTGATCACATGAGGGGGATTTTTACGTGAAAATACTTTCCAAGAAGTACTTTTACGTTTGGGGCCAAACCATATCAAATTTCAAGGGAAACGCACCACCGAATTGGGTTTCGATAGAGTTTCATGTTAAGATTTCTCATGTCTGAATTTCCAAGCTTGGCTTATAGCCATTGTTCGCATGTTTGACATTTCTTTTGCATTCAAGCTCCACACAATTTGTTGGTCGGTTCAGGGTACACCTTGTTTTGCCAAAACTCACTAAATTCTTTGCTCAAATGGATAAATATCTAGTTAATTTTTTTGCAAAAACTCTCTAATTGAGCCAAAATCTGCACATTTCACGAAATTCTTGACCCGTTTATCAGAATTCCTTTTCTTTTTTTCTTTTGTTTTTAGGCACATTTCCTTTCGAATTCCACAAAGGTCAATCATAAACTAACATGGGAGTACAGCCTTTCTCATAGGCCAGCTAGGAGTTACCATGCTAACATAATTTTGAGAGTCATTGGTAGGGCTTCCAATGGGTCGAGCAGGCTTGTATGTTTTTGGGCCTAGTCAGGCCCAAATTAAAGCCCTCGACCTGGGCAAGTGGAGCTCTTTTTTGTTTTGGGTTGACCCCAGTCCACCCTTGGCCCAACCTGACCTGTTCACACCGGAGAGTTATTCCAGGGGGCCACTATTCCCTTTACTGGTTGTGCTATTCCCATCCAAAATATGAACAGCAATAGCAGGGAACCTAGTATTGTCATCTGTGCTACTTTGTTGGGAATAAAGTTCCCCACTTTTATTATGGGTGCAGTTTGTATGGAGCCTAAGGCTCTTAACAATCAAAGTAGAGCCCAACTTCAAATAGTATTGAAAAATGTGGTTTTAATACTGAAAATCAGCCTTAAATTATATTTTTATCTTTAATTATAAAATTTAAAGCTTAAAATAATGTAGATCGAGCAGATCTATGAAAACTTGAAAATCTTGAAAACAACATCTTCAAGTGAAATTTTTGACGTGGGCCCAAATTTGATTGTTCAGAGCCTCGGCTCTATATAAACTTATTCCTTTTATTATTTGTAGATGAATCAGAAAGATTGTTAAAAGCTTTTTAAAGAACTCATCAAAAGATTTGGAAAAACACCCCTAAGTGCTACTTCAGTCAACCATGTAAGAGAAAATATTGAGTTTCAGGTGAAAACTAAAATTGATTGAAGATGTCTTGTTGAAACTCATTAAATATCATAAAAAGTCGCCATCCTTAATTTTTAGGTGTGTCTCAGGCCCATCTAGACTTCATAACAAGGCTGATAAAGGCATGGTGTTATGCTTTTAATGAAGGAAAACCAATTTTTTATTAGTGCTATGGGAGTTATGGCAGTGACTCCGACAAGCAGGTTCGAAAAGTTTGTCTGAATATGGGATCCAACCATGGTGGGACATTGTTTCTTACTAGAGCTATCAGCGCTTTCACAGCAACTCGATACTCCATGTTCCGATAGTCTGTCACCTCCAAATATCCCACACGGGCCACATTTTTTTTGTAATAGTGCGATAGGCATTTTAGCAGCAAATCTTGGACAAGTAGGGTTCCAAAAGTCTGCCACTCATGAGTCTAGGAACCAACCAATGTGGGCCATTTTCTAGTCCTAAATAGGGGGAAGGGGAAAAACAACTCCATCACTGAAATTTGGTCCGTTTAAACGCACCCTTGATATCTCTATACCTGAATAAAGAGCTTTAATGCTTCAACCACTATTACCAAGAGGACAGAATCCCACTAAAAAAGAACTTCAAACAAATATATCCTTGTCTCACCAATATTCCATACAAGAACATTCCCCACCCTTGAAATGGTGGAACCTCAACCTGTCCCTTACTATGATCTGTCTACCAAATACCATAGAGATGAGCTTAGTTGCAGTATGGCAATCAACACAAGCACGAAGGTTCTTCACAACTCTGATAGGCACCTTAGGATCCACGTGTATAAGACCATAGGCAATAGCTAACTTTTCACTATGATAGCATAGTGCTTGTTCCTTTTCTTCTTCATCAATATCTAATAACACTTGGGAAGTGTTTGGCACATAACCGGCCGCCCTGATTCTCTGAACCATCTCATCTAACATGGGTTTTAGCTCCAAAGCTCGATGGTCCGACTTATCACTCATAAAGAACTCGTGAATCACGCCATTGACCTCAATCACACTACACCCAGGACACTTCCTGACACCCCTCTTTTTCATCAACTTCCTAACCTCTAGAGCATCACCCCATCGCCTAACATAGGCATAGATATTCGCCAACAGTATATAATTCGCATCATTTTGAGAGTCCAGATCAATAAGATAACGCCCCACTTTCTCACCTAGCACTACATTCTTGTGCACAATACAAGCATTGAGCAAAGCACCCCAAAGTATAGTATCTGGCTCAATTGGCATATTTTCTATAAGGTCGTTTGCCTCTTGTAGGAACCCGGCTCTACCAAGGACATCAACCATACAACCATAATGCTCAATTTTGGGGACAATACGAAATTCTCTCATCATTCGATCGAACTGATGTTGAGCTTCATTAACTAGCCCGCCATGACTACATGCAGTCAAGACCCCGATGAAGGTTATGCTATCAGGTCTGAGACCAACATCGAGCATCTCTTCAAACAGTACTAGTGCTCTATTGCAAAGGCCATTCACTGCAAGACCCATTATCAAGGAGGTCCATGTCAACACATTTCTTTGAGGCATTTGATCAAACACTATAACAGCGCCATCTATATATCCACATCTTGAGTACATGTTGATCAAGGAAGTCCCCAAATTCACAGAGAGCAAGACTTTGTTCCGCTCTATACATACATGGACCCATCTCCCTTGTTCCAATGCACCAAGATGAGCACATGCTGAGAGGACGCTTACAAGTATGGCCTCGTTGGGTTCGAGCCTCTCCATCTGAAACTCGTTGAACAAGAGCAAGGCCTCCTTAAAAAGATTAGCTTGTGCATAACCTGCTATCATGGCACTCCAACAAACAGCATTCCTTTTGGATCTTCTATCGAAAACGAGAAGTGCATCATCAATGCTGCCACAATTCGAGTAAAAGCGAATCAAGGAGCTATTCACATAGGCATCGGAGTCGACACCCATCTTTAGAGCAAGCCCATGAATGGCTTTCCCCAACAACAAAGCTAGCAAGAAGGAAAAGGACTTGATCACAAATGGGAATGTGAACTTATTAGGTACAACTCCTTGTTCCATCATTCTAATGAAGAATTCAATGGAATTAAGGGGAGAATGGGCAGTTGAGAAGGCCCTTATCATAGTGTTCCAATAAAAGACAGTTGGGGAATCAATTGAATTGAATATTTGGAGTGCATAGTCAAGGCTTCCTGAGGGTGATATAGCTGTGAATTCTAGTATGCTACTTAGAGCATACGGGTTGTGAGAGAAGCCTGATGTGAGTATTTGCGCATGGATTTGGTGCAATTCTCTCATGGATTTGCAGGTTTGGAGGAGAGGGAAGAGGGAGGGATGGGTGAGGAGGTGGGTGTAAGAGGGTGAAGACATCCATAAGGGTTTGTTTGTATGGAAATTGGTACATTGAATTAGAGGGGATGTTGCATGGGCAGAAGCCATTACATGGTAGTGGAGCAAATCTCCTTAGTTTTCTTATTTCAAGAGACGAAAATGAGGGAAAACATAAATTGCTTTTGCAATGAATTTTTTAATAGAATCGATTTACTAATGTTTTTCTAAGACCTTTTCTACTTGGGAGGGTATCCCTTGCTTTTGTGCTTAAGTAATGGCACTCTGATTTCACATCCAAACGGTTGACAATAATTGTGTATTAAAAATAGATAGTTCCATCGTATACATTTCTAAAAAATAAAAGTAGCACAAACACCTCGTAAGTCTTAGGCATTTCTCATGCTTGAATAAGTGGCAACTTATGGGTATCATATTTCACTCATTTCTGCTTTTTCAAGATAGAATACTGATGATTCAATCATCTTTTTTTCGAGTTTGCCCGAGAGTGAAAGTAGCTTTTAGTAATAAGGGATCCTGCTCTTTGCCAAAGAGAGATTTGTGAAATGATTTTTGGTTTAAAAGCCTTTAAATAGAAGTCAAATTATGATCATAACATTGTTTCTTGATATTTATTTGTCAATTAGTATCAAAATTCTGTTATTTACTCAGAAAAAACGAACTTATTTTTATCTGTAGCAAAAAGAATGAAACAAGGTTGATTCTAATCATGTTTGACCAATAAAAATTATGAGATTTCACATGTTGGATCAATAAAAATTTCATTTTAAAATTAAGAAGATGATTACATACAAGTGTGATTGCGATTAAAATGAATAAATCAAAGCATATGATGATTAATTTGAATCAAAATGCTGTTGAAATTGTCTCAGCATCGACAACAGTAGAACAACCTCATGTCTGATTTATTTGAACAATTTTGATCAAAATTTCTTCATGAAATCTTGTTGATACTGTTTATGAAGATCTTGAGAACATCATCTTTCACATTGTTAGATGGAATTAAACCAAAAGCTAGTTTATGCAGCAAGCACGAAAAATCGGTAAGAAACTATTTATGAAATACTGATGAAATTTTTAGTGAGACTTCTTTGCCAAAAATTTGATCACGTAAATCTTGATGAGAGAGGCACATACGTAAATCTTGATGAGAGAGGCACATAGAGAGGTAGAGTGGAGAGGCGGTGGAAAGGAGGGATGGGGGAGGTGGAGAGAGGGAGAGAGGGGCAGCATAAAAGAAATTCTTCAAAATGTAACAATAGTAGAAAAAGTTTTAGAGAAAATATCTCCGTAGATCCCATTTTCAACTTTCATTTCTTTTTAAATCCAAATTTTCAAAACTTATCTTCTAATCCATCAAATAACTTTATCTATTTTTATTCTAACTTTTATCCGAAACAAATTATAAATGACATCTTTTTTTCTAATTCTCTCTCTCCTCTCATGTTTATCTTTCTAGACTGTCCAAGTTCAGGAGCTCACAAGAAACCTTGAGTTTTGCCCGGAAACCTTGCGTTTTGCCCGCAATCTTCATCAGAAACCTCTCTTTAAGTAGGCTAAAAACCCAAAACTAGAAATGTGTGGGTTCTCCCTACAATTTCCAGCTAAAGTTCAGGCAATAAAATTTGTTGGTACTATCTGCAAATCCCGGTCAAGAATTCGGCCAAAAAGATTCATGCCAATTCAATCTGTGAAACCTTAAACCGGAAATTTGTGGGTTCTCCATGCAATTTCCAGCTAAAGTTGAGGCAACAAAATTTGTGGGTTCTCCCTGTAAATCCCGGTCAAGATTTCGACCAAAATGGTGGTCAGCCAAAAAGATTCCTGCAAATTCAGTCTGTGAAACCCTAAACCGAAAATTTGTGGGTTTTCCCTGCAAATCCTGATCAAGATTCCAACCAAAATGGTGGGCGTGAAAAATGGATCCCCCGTCAGTTCGCCGGAGAAACATGGTTCCGGCCACTGTGTCCATCGAGCTCCGGCTACCTTCAAAACCTCAAAGTTCGAGCTTTCCCATGACCGGCTGTGAAGCCAAAGAACTTGCAAACCTCGAACTTTCACTATACACAACCCTCAGTAGCCCTGAACCTCTAGAGAAACAGTCTCATTTTTTTGGTGGTTGGAACATTTTTGGACGGGTTAAGCCTTAAGTTTCAGAGCCTTGAACCTCTCGAGAAAAGAGATGTGGTTTCTTTTCTGACGTCAGTGGTATTTTCCATTGGACGGCTCAAAGGGAGGGTGTAGTTTTCCGGTGAGTAGGTGTGGAGGAGATGTAGTTTTCCGACGAGCAGGTGAGGGAGGATATAGAGAGAGAAGGGTTTGGGAGGTTCATCAAGGGAGAGAGAAAGGGAATCATGTTAAGAAAAGGAGGGGTTTAGAAAACCATGTCTTTTTTAAGTTTGTTTTGGTCAAAAAAATTAACAAAAAATAAATAAAATATATCAGGGGATTAGGAAATATAATAGTGTGAGAAATGAAAATTGAAAATGGGGTCTATAGAGTATTTTAAAAGGAAAATTTCGTACAGAACCCTAATTCCCCATCTTATTTCATGGTAGATCCTCCTTCAATTTTTTTTTCAAGCGGCATAAAAAAATCCCTATGGATTTCACCGCACCCCGTCATCTCTTATCTCCCTCATTTATTCACTTTTGGCCAAAAAAAGTAACCACACTAAACCTTTTTATATCATTTCAACCCAATATGAGAGAGAGATAAGGAGCCCTCAACGTGGCATTGAGGGGGTGAAAAGACAAAAAATATAATAAAAAAATATTTTAGAAACGTTTTTAGGTTAAAAGATATAATGGGGTGGGTTAAAAATGTTTTTGGGTTAAAAAAGTTTTTGGAACGTTTTTAAGTTGAAATGGTATAAAAAAGTTTGTTGGGGCAAATTCTTATCGTAAAAAGTGAATAAATGAGAGAGATAACAGATAAAAGGGTACGGCGAAATCTTTAAAAAAAAATTTATGCCTCTTGAAAGAAAGTCTACCATGAAATAAGATGGAGAATTAAGGTTCTGTACGAAATTTTCCCTATTTGAAAAGTAAGGGCATAACAAGTTTTATACACCACTACACGATGTACCTTTAATACACAAGATTATTCCTCCATATAAGATTTATGTGATTGCTATTGCCCATTGTCCGATACGAATGAATAGTTGTGATAGCTTCAGCCATAATGTTACAAGTTTTCATTTGTGCATCTGCTATCATATTTAGTTTTTTTTTTTTTAATTTATTTTTGAGAGAGTGCTCACTTTGGCAATTCTAATAGAAAATAGGAAACAAGTATTTTTGACAAAAATACCCTTGTAATTTGCAAGGTATTTTGGTTTATTTGTTTTATAAAAATATTTTTTTTTCACTTTTATTATGTGCTCTACTACAAAAGTAGGGACTTTGTAATTACATGTTAAAATGATTTATAAAGAAAATAAAATTAAAGAAATATTAAGGGTGATGATATTAGTGAAGCTATCAAAACATCACTTTAGATTGAACAACTAGGAAGTAATTGAAAAGTGGAGAAGGGTGTTACATGGAGATGAGAT